TTGTGATCCCAGGACTTAGGAGGCTGAAGCAGGAGGATTGCTTTGAGTTTGAGGCCAGCCTGAGCTACATAGCTAGACCGTGTCTCAAAAAACAAAAAGCTAGGGCCAGGGATTTAGCTCAGTGGTGCCGTCCCCTGCCTCGAAAGCAGAAGGTCCTGAGTTCAATCCCTAGTACCAAAAAAAAAAGCTAAACAAACAAAAAACTATTAAAACACAATTTAAAAATCTTCAGAGCAATCAATGTCAGTGGTCGAATGACCACATGACAAAGTCTTTAAAACACAAGTCTCTTTGTTTTTACACAACTGCTAAAAATACTGTACACGGGCCAGGGATTTAGCTCAGTGGCACCACGCCTACTTTGCAAGTGCAAGGTCCTGAGTTCGATCCCTCGTACCGGAAAAGAAAAATAGGTATGTATTAGTAATTATTTCAACTGTCAAAATCTACCCTAAAGACCTAACGAATCTTGTTTTTTAACAAAGGATGACAGCCGGGCATGGTGTGATACATGCCTCAGGAGGCTGAGGCAGGAGGATTGCTGTGAGTTCAAAGCCAGCCCGAACTACATAGCAACACCCTGTCTTAAAACAAACAAGGGCTGGGAATTTAGTTCAGTGGTTCCACTGCCTGCCTCACAGCGCAAGGTCCTGAGTTCGATCCCCAGTACCATAAGACAAACAAACAAAAAATCACAAAACAAACAAAAAAGATGACAGGAGCCTGATACACATTCCCCTCTACAGAATAGCAGATTTCCAAGCAAATTTCTTGGTGTACAGCTCTTAATTGCATATTCTATTTCTTTGGTCTTCACTACTTATAAACTCACAGCAAAATTAAAACAAGTAGAAGCAGGGTGTGGTGTTGCATGCCTGTAATCCCAGCACTGGAGAGGCTGAGGCAGGAGGATTGCTGCAAATCTGAGGTTCTGAGGTGAGTTTGGGCTACATCATGAATTCAAGGTCAGCCTGAACTACACCGTGAGACCCTGTCTAAACAAAAAGAAAAAAAATACATTTTTAAAAGGCCACATGAATCCACCAATTTGTGCTCCTGATCTCAACTCCTCGGACTCTCTCCAGTTATGGCTTCTGATAACTCCAGCCTCCGTGCACACTGGCTCCATCTACCGGACAAGTCAGGCAGCACCGAGCTACAGCCAAGATGGAGACCCGGGTCTGGGGATACTTTCCCAGATTCTCCACCCAGTGCAGGTGAGCAGCCCCCATTTTAACTAAGCTCTTCCAAAAGTGGCTGCTAGGGCTGGGGATTTAGCTCAGTGGTTTCGCCGCCTGCTGTGCAAGCACAAGGACCCAAGTTCGATCTCTGGTACCAAAAAAAAGTGGCTGCCACAGGGCAAAGGATTGACTGATTGACTTTGATATTTTTTGTTGTTTGACTGTGTAGTTCAGGCTGACCTTGAACTCTCTATGTAGCCCAGGGGCTGGTCTCAAACTCTCTGCCATTCTCCTGCCTCAGCCTCCCAAGTGCTGGAATTATAGGCATATGCCACCATGCTTGGCTTTTTTTTTTTTTTTTTTTTGTTACCAAGGATCAAACTCAGGACCTTGCACTTGTGAGGCAGGCAAGGTGCCACTGAGCTAAATCTCAGGCCACTGGCTTGTTTTTGTTGTTGAGTTGTAAGAGTTCTTTATTCTGTTTGCTTCTTTTTTTGGTACCGGGGATTAAACTCGGGACCTTGCGCTTGTGTGGCAGGCACCGGAACCACTGAGCTAAATCCCTGGCCCTAGAGTTCTTTATTCTAAATGTTAATGCTTTATGAGATATGTGCTTTGCAAATATTTTCTTCCATTTTGTGGTATCTTTTCACTCTCTTGACAGCACACTTTGATGTGCACATTTGCATGTGTGTGTGTTGGTGTTGGCGATCTAACCCAGGGCCTCATGTATGCTGGGCAAGCACTCTATGACTGAACTACATCCTAATCACAAACTTCTTTAACTTTCATGATGCTTTATCTAGTTATCTTGTTTCCCTTGCATGTTGTTGAAACGTGAGCCAAAATAAACCTCCCCTCCCTTAAATTGTGGGTGTTGGGTATTTTGTCCCAGTGACAAGGAGAAAAGTGACCAAGACATTAGATATAATCACGTTTCAAGTAAAAAGTTGAAGAAAGAAAAAGTCAGAAGCCAGGTGTGTAGCTCAGCAGTAGAGCACTTGCCTAAGGCAGGAAGCCCTGATTGGATCACCAGCACCATAAGGAGAAATCCCTGGGTGTGGTGCACAGGTGTCACCTGCACCTCCCTTCCTTTTCCCAGTGTCACATTTTGGAAACCCTCTGTGCCCACTCACTGAGATCGCGCTCATGCTTCTTAACCTCTGTGTAGTGATTTTGTTATGTGACGCACATGAGCTGATTAACTGTTCCCAGATGCAGTGTATCTGGTCCATTTCCATTTTTGCCCTACAGTGAACACTTTGAATGGACATCACAAAGGAGACAATGTTTCCTGGGTCCATACTACCCTGACAGTGCTGGAATTTGTCCTTTCTATGGCCATGCATAGAATTTAAGGAGGTGCTTGTTCCTAAGCAGTGCAGAGCCAGCAGTGTTAGGTACTCTGGAAACTTGTGCATTCTTCAAAAGGACCCCTTGGTCCCTTCTATTTTACAGATGAAGATTGAGTTAAGAGGTAAAGCCTCTGCCCCAAAGTCACACAGGTAAGACACACAACAGCCAGATTTGCACACAGAATTTTTTTTTTTTTTTGTACCAGGGATTGAACTCAGGACCTTGTGCTTGCAAGGCAGGCGTGAGGCCATGGAGCTAAATCCCCAGCACTGAGACAAGTGTTTTACTAAGTAGTACGTGGTGCTCTTGAACTCATCATGTAGCCCAAGCTGGTCCAGAACTCATGATCCTCTTGCCTCAGCCTCTTGAGTGCTGGGATTTCAAATGTGCATCACCACCCCTAGTCCTCCAGTGTTTGACTGCCTAATTCATGCTCTTCCATGGTATACATCTCCTACAGGGAAGCACTCAGTGTGTGTGTGTGTGTGTGTGTGTGTGTGTGTGTGTGTGTGCGCACGCACTGGGGAACTGGGGCCTCATCCTTACAAAGCACATGCTCTGTCACTGCTTCACACTCTCAGCCTCAATATTTTTTTTTTTGGTACCGGGGATTGAACTCTCAATATATTTTTAAAAAGCACTGGGTGAACAGGGGAAGACAGTTACAGCCCAGTATGGTGGTGTGCACCTATAATTCTTCCTCTGGGAGCTGAGTGAAGCTGAGGTAGGATGATTACAAGTTCAAGTTCCTTCTGGGCAAATTAGAAAGATCCTGTTTTAAAATTAAAAATAAAGTAGGGTGTGGTGGTGCATGCCTATAATCCTAGCACTCGGCAGGCTGAGGCAGGTGGATCGCCATGAATCAAGGCTAGCCTGAGCTACATAGTGAGTTCAAGGTCAGCCTGAATTACATTGTGAGACCCTGTTTCAAAAAACCCAAATAAATAAATAAATAAATAAATAAAGCTGAATGTGGTGGTGCTCACCTGTAATCTCAGCACTCGGGAGGTTGAGACAGGAGGATCTCTGTGAATTTGAGGCCAGCCTGGACTATATAGTAAGATCCTGTCTCAAAAAAACAAAATAAGGAGCTGGGATTTAGCTCAGTGGGGGAAAGCAAGCAAGCAAGCAAGCAAGCTGGGGTGTAGCCCAGTGTGAAGGCTCTGGTTTCAATACAAAACGCAGATGAAGGGACAGTTATACGTATTTCTTCTTTTTTCATTAAGTTTATCGGTACATTTTAGGTATACAATACAATTACATTCATCATTGAGATCTTGTATCTTTACATGATGTATCTTGGTTTTTATTTTTTCCCCATTCCCCTCCCCTCCTTTCACCCCCTCTACCCTTCCCTATTTACAAAGAGTTTGTTTCCATTTTTTCCTTTTCTCATATTTTTTCGTTTCTCCTCTTTCCTTTCCCCTACCCCTCCCACTTCCCCTACCCCTTTAGACCTTTTCTTCCTATTTCACATTATCAATTATACATTTTGATCTTTATTTACACTTTTAGTTTTTCACACCAGAGAAACTATTCAGTATTTACACATATGTGTCCTACTCATTTAAGAGTATGGCCTCAGTGTGCATTCATTTAGCCATAAATATCTCTAGTTTCTCGTTCTTTATGGCTGAGTAGTACTCCATTTTATTAAAAAACCACATCTTTATCCAGTCTCCAGTTGATGGGCAATTGGGCTGTTTCCAAGTTTTAGCTATTACAAACTGTGCCTCTATAAACATGGGTGTGCATATATCGCTGTGGTATGATTCTTTTAATTCTTTTGGGAAGATATCCAGTAGGGGAATAGCTGGGTCAAATGGGACCTCTAGTCCTAGTTCTTTGAGGTATCTCCATACTGATTTCCATAGTGGTTGTACCAGTCTACACTCCCAGCAGCAGTGGAGCAGGGTTCCTTTTTCCCCACAGCCTCGCCAGCACTTCTTATTGGTTGATTTCATGGTAGCCATTCTCTCTGGGGTGAGTTATACTGTATTTGTACAATACTGGGTTTTGTTTTTGTTTTTGTTTTTTTTGGTGCCGGGGATCAGACTTGAGTCCTTGGGCTTGTGAGGCAGGCGGTAGAACCACTGAGCTAAATCCCCGGCCCTATAGTGTATTTCTAGATCCCCAATGCGGTTTACTTAAAACTACTATTCCCGGGCCTGGGATTTAGCTCAGTGGCGCCGCGCCTGCCTCACAAGCGCAAGGTCCTGAGTTCGATCCCCCGATACCGAAAACAACAACAACAACAACAAAACAACCAAAACTACTATTCCCACCATGGTCTCCTCTCCAGGGGGTGAGTTTGGGTAGGGGGTTGTGCCAGACTACATTTCCCGAAACGCAACGCTTTCTTTCTTCACGGGCTGTCAACCACGTCGGGAATTGTAGTCGTTCAAAGAAACCATCGCCCACAACTCCCAGCATGCTCTTGGCATCTGGCTCCTTTGACAGGAAAAGGACTGTCCTACAGCATGCTGGGAGGCGTGGGCGGCCTTTTCCCTCACTTGCCGCCCGTCGGAGAAACTCCTACTTGAAACTACAAATCCCACATGGCCATGCGCGAGGGGAGGCGGGCACTTCTTCCGGAAGTTCGTTCCAGCTGTGGGTGCCCCAACTGCAGCCACAACGGGAGCCACCTAGTCGCCGCCGCGGGACCTGGACTGCTGGGGTCCGGACAGGGGTCGCCATGGTAACGGGGCGCGCCACGCCCGAGACTAGCAGAGGGAGGGTCCACGCGCAAACAGCCAAGGCACTGACGAGCCCCCCTGCCGCGGACGGTCTTAGCCAGGCGCGGGCTCTAAGATTGGGGCCACCAGGGGTTGGGGATGGGGGAACAGGGCCTCAATTCTGTCCTGGGGGTGCTCTGCGGTCGCCAGGCATGGAGACAAAGGGAGGGGGTGCCAAGGGAAAGGGCTGTGCCCGTGGGAGATACTAGAGGTTGTTGGGGGCTTTTGAAACTGGAGAGGCAATTTGAGCGGCACGGGTAGGGAGAAGGGTTTAGAGGTGAGGAGGCGTTGGACAGGAATGGGGGACACTGGAACAAGGAGCGAGGTCTCCCTGTAGGAGGGATCTCCAGAGGCAGGGAACTGGCATTGCAGGCGGAGAGGGGGTGTTGGAGGAGGGAGAATCTAAAGGGGAAGGGACTGGGCACTGGAGACCGGAAGTAGGCAACTGCCGGGAACCAAGGTCTAGAGTAGGGGAAAGCGAGGTGCCAGAAGAGAGAGGCTCAGAGGGCGGGGGGCGCTAGAAATGGAGAGCAGCTGAACTGAACTTTCCAAGAGGAAAGGTCTTGGTGGGGAAGGTGCAGGCTTGGAGGTGTGACACTGGGGGAGGAGGCTCTTGGAGCAGAGACTGAGCCCTGGATTTCGAGGGTACCCCTCTTACCCAGGTTAGGGCTTCGGAATTGAGGAAGGATTCTTTGGTCAGGGAGTCAGGACAGAAGATGAATGGGAATGTCAGACTGCAGATGAGTCTCCCCAAGGAACAGGGTCCTTGGAGGCAAGATGTGATTTTTTTGTGTTTTGTTGTGGTAGTAGACCTTTTTTTTTTCTTTTGGGGAGAGTTTTACTATTTAGTTTAGGCTGGCCTCGAACTCACAGGAGTCCTCCTGCCTCAGCCTTCCAAGTGCTGAGAGTACAGGCCTGAGCCACTGTGCCTGGCAAGGTGTGACCCTTGACGAAGGGAGGCAGCCTTGGAGTTGGAGGAGGGATGTTTCCAGTGAAAGGCTCCTGAAGCTGGAGAGGGGACTGAAACTGAGAAAGTGGAAGTCAAAAAGGATCAACTCTGAGGGAAAGGAGTTGGAGACGGGAAAAGCTGGGAGCGTCCACAGGGGATAGCAGAGGGGTGAGGATGCAGGGTGGAAGGGGACATGGAGACATTCTGACTGGGAGGAGAAACACAGAGCGGTGTTGGGCACAAGAGACAGTGCTGTCAAGTTCTCTGGCCCCCTTCCAGAGGTGCCCTGGGTCCCTGCCTCATCCCCAGCTGTGGCTACCTGCTTCGTCAGCCCCACTCCCCTCCCCCCTTGGCCCTTGCCAGGCTAGGAAGTGGTTTTCCCTGGCTCAGCAGAAGGCTTTCTTGGAAGGAGCTTATAATGTCCTGTTCCTGCCTGCTTTCTGGGTTGGGGCCAGGTGGAGTATGTCAAGAATGAGGTTTAGGAAAGGAAGTGGGGTGCTATTAAGGGGCTCTCAAGTTAGGGTAAGAGGGTTTGAGCAAAGCCTTTAAGCTGCCAGGTCTTTCTTTCCTTGAGCCTCAGTTTTCTTATCTGTAAAATGGGCAGCAGCTTGCTAGGCTTCCTAGTTGGGTAGGTTGGGGCCTTGTTTTCTCAAAGACAAGTAACAACAAATTATACTGCTACTAGGAGCTAGTATTCTATGACACTTAGACTCTGCTAATCCTGTACTACACCTTTGTGTCCATTGCCCTGTGCCTTAGTCTTATGAAGGAGGTATTCAGTATGTCCACGGTATGGGAAGGGAAGCTGAGCCCAGAGAGATTAAGTGATCTGCCCTGGACACACAGCAGTAGCAGCCAGGATTCACTCTGGCTCTAGAATCTGTGCTCTTAGCCACTCAATCAAATGCCTCTCAGATGTAATGATGGCTAATTTTATCTAGGGCTCCCTGTGTAACAGGCACTGTGCTAAGTACTTCTGGGTTTGTCTTGTTTTGTTTTGTGGTACTCATGGCGGAACCCAGGGCCTTGTCCTCATACACACCAGGCAAGTGCTCTGCCCCTGAGCTACATCCCCAGCCCTTTTTAAAATTTTATTTTGAGGCAGTGGCTCTCTGTGTTGCCCAGTTTGCCCTCAGGCTTGTGATCCTCCTGCCTCACCTTCCTGGGTAGCTGGGATTACAGGCCTGCACCACCATGCCTGGCTCCTAAGCTCTTCTGACTTTGACTCATTCAGTTTGTACAGTAGCTGTGATGTCTGGCCTGACTTTTCAGAATCATAACAAGCTTCGCAGCCAGAACTAGTGATAATCATAGCTAACATGGAACATGAATTCTGAGCCAGGCCCCGCTCTGGTACTTCTGCATTGTTTATACTCTCGGCAAACAGGCAGTTAGGTCACTTAAAGGACAGGGCTTGGGCATGTGGTTCAGTGGTAGAGCACTGGCCTGGCCTGTGGGAAGCCCTGGTTCTTTCCCAAGCACTACAGAAACAAAACAGCAAAAAGGCAGATGCTTTGGAAAACAAGTCCTGAAAAGGTTTAACATGAAGTTTCCGTGTGACCCAGCAGTTCTGCTCCAGGTCTGCTCCCAAGAGTCTACGCAAAAACCTGTGCATAGCTTCCCATAGCAGCAGCAGTTATCATGGTGGCCAGGAAGTGGGAATGACCCAAATGCCCACCCAGTGAGAGCGTAAGCAGAGTCAGAGGTCATGGCGTGTACGTTACCATAGAAAGGAGCGAAGCCCTCAAATGTGCTGCCTGTGGCTGCACTCTGGACACTCATGTCAGAAGCCAAGTACCCAGAACCACATCTGTGGGATGCCACTTACATGAGATGTCCAGAGCAAGTCCACAGGGGCAGCAAGTAATTATGGTTGCCAGGGGTTGGGAGGGAGGGGAATAGAAGGTTTCTTTGGGGGGGTAATAAGAATGTTCTGGCCAGGTGTGGTAGCATACACCTGTAATCCCAATACTCAAGAAGCCGAGGCAGGAGGATCTCCAAGAGTTCAAGGCCAGCCTGGGGTACATAGGGAGACCCTGTCTCAAAAAACAAAAACAGGGCCGAGGATTTAGCTCAGTGGTTCCGCCGCCTGCCTCAAAAGCACAAAAACCCAAGTTTGATCCCCAGTACAAAAAAAAAAAATTACCAAGCCAAAGGGCCGGACACCTACCTCAGTGGCCTGCCTTGAAAGCACAAAGTCCTGAGTTTAATCTCTGTACCAAAAAAAAGAAAAAAGTAAGCCAAAAAAGAAGAAGAGTGGCAGAGCCAGTTTAATTTATTTTGGTTATTGGAGACAAGGTCTCACTATGTGGTTCAGGCTGACTTAGAACTTACTAGGAGTGGGCCAGGGATTTAGCTCAGTGGTTCCGAAACCAGCCTCCCAAGCACAAGGTCCCGAGTTAGATCCCTGCTACCAAAAGAAAAAAAGAACTTACTAGGAGTGCTGGGATCACAGGTATGAGGCTGAGATACAAACATTTACTGAGTGTCTCCTACACACTGGCCATTGAGCCAGGGTGATAAATGTATTTAACCTTTAAAACACCTTGGTAAGCTAGGCGTCCTTGGGGAACTCTTCGTGGAGCCCTGGAGCCGCCCGCTGGGAGAAGGAAAGTCTTGGAAGTCGCTCCCCGGGGGGCTGGGGGAGTCCCTAGCTCCCCTGCAGGGGTGGGCGGGGCTCCCAGACTCTGGCCCCACCCACCGCTCTCAAGCCTCTCCTCGTGCTCCCGCAGATCCGCTTCATCCTCATCCAGAACCGGGCCGGCAAGACGCGCCTGGCCAAGTGGTACATGCAGTTCGATGATGATGAGAAACAGAAGCTGATCGAGGAGGTGCACGCCGTGGTCACCGTCCGCGATGCCAAGCACACCAACTTTGTGGAGGTGATAAACACCCCCCTTGTGACCTGTCCCTCTGGCCATCGCCTTCCTTTTTGGGTACTTTTTTTCCCCTAAAGACAGCGTCTCGCTATGCAGTCCAGGCTGTTTTTCAACTCACTGTGTAGCCCATGATCCTCCTGCCTCAGCCTCCTTAGTGCTGGGATGACAAGGGTGTGCCACTATGCCTGGCGTTTTTTGATACTTTTCATTGTGAGAAGTGCAGAGAGAGAGGAGAGGAGAATGAAGATCCATATAACCCCTACTCAGATTGTACCAGTGTTACTATTTCACCCTCCTGCTTGACCTTATTTATTTTTGTTTTTATCAAGGAGTTGTTGTATTGGTATTGTTGCTGTTGTCTTTACAGTGCTGGGGATGAACCCAGGGCCTCACACGTGCTAGGCAAAGTGCTCTGCCACTGAGGTACAGCCCCAGCCCTTTTCATTTTTTATTTTGAGACAAAGTCATGCTAGGTAGCCCAGGCTGAGCTTGAACTTGCCATCCTCCTGCCTCAGCCTCCCTAGTAGCTAGGATTACAGGTATATGTCACCATGCTGAGGTTCCTGTGACTCAGCTTTAATCTGGAAGTCTCCATCTTTTATTCCTATGACATTCACCTGTTCGAGAGGCCAGGCTAGGGCTGGGGGTGCAGCTCAAGGCTAGAGGACTTGGCTGGCACTCAAGAAGTCCTGGCTTCCATCCCCAGCACCACACACACAGAAAAGACCAGGCTGATTGTCCTGTAGAATTCAACAAACATTAAATATTTTGGGGTTTTTTTTGTTTTGGTTTGGTTTTGTGAGACAGGGTCTCGATATGTAGCCCAGGCTGGCCTGGAATTTGAGGCAGTCCTCCTGCCTCAGCCTCCCAAGTGCTGGGATTATGGGCCTGTGCCACCACACCTGGCAAAGCATTTAATAAAAATTAACCACAGGCGTCCTATGTGCAGGGCTGTTCTTGGTCCTGAGGGGACCACAGTGAACACAACATGAGGACAGAAATCTCTGCCCTACAGAGCTTCTTTCTGGCTGCTGGAAGATGGATAGGACCAGCCCAGCCTGACAGGGCGGTGCACACTTGTGATCCCTGTATCCTGGGTGGCTGAGGCAGGAAGACTGTGAATTTGAGCCCAGCCTGGACAACTTAGCTCCTTAGCGAGACCCTGTCTCAAAATAAAACAAAATTTAAAAGGGCTGGGGGCCGGGGATTTAGCTCAGTGGTTCTGCCACCTGCCTGCTTCATAAGCACAAGGTCCTGAGTTCGATCCCTGGTACCAAAAAAAAAAAAAAGCTGGGGGAATGTATTTCAGTGCAGAAGCCTTGGGTTCCATGGCCAGTACAAACAAAAACAACAGCAAAAGCAAAAAGCAGACATAGGCCTGTCTGCAGATAGTGACCACCAGAATGCACAGGGCTAGAGGAAGGAGCCTGGAAGGGGTGGGAGTCAGGAGGGCTTCCTGGAGGAGGGGACATGCTGGGGAGTATCAAGTGGGAATGATAACAAGTTTTTTTGTTTCTTTTGGGGGGGTATAGGGAATTGAACTCGGGAGCTTGTGCTTGCCAGGCAGGCACAGCACCGCTGAGCTGCATCCCTGGCCCCCTTCATTTTTTTTTTTTTTTTCATTTTGTTTTTGAGACAGGGTCTTACTTAAGTAGTCTAGGGTGACCAGGAACTTGTTATGTAGCCCAGGCTGGCCTTGAACTCACAGTGATCCTCCTGCCTGAGCCTCCTCAATGGTGGGATTTCCTGTTTCCCTGGGAATTTAGGACCAAGGAAGAAGAGGTACCAATCAGGATCAGGTCACTTGCCTGTGGGTTATGGGTAAGCATTACTGTAATATTAGAAAACAGATCAGTGTAGAAATTAACAAAAGGTTGAGCTGAAAGAATAGAAGGGCAAGGACTCATGTTGGCACCCAGAGTCACCACTAGATGGTGCCATATACACACCCCAGACCTAGGCATTGGCCAGAATGTGTACTTTGTGGGTTTTGTTTGTTTTTTTGGTACTGGGAATTGAACTCCAGACCTTGGGTTTTTGAGGCAGCGGTGGAACCACTGAGCTAAATCCCTGGCCCCAGATTGTGTACTTTGTACCCTTCTGTGAGTGTCAGTTTCTGTATCTCTCCTTTCTTTTCTTTTCTTTTTTTCTTTCTTTCTTTCTTTTGGTGCTGGGCCAGGGCTTCCAAGCGCTATGCCAGGCTCCACCCCAGCCCATCAATCTCTTTAACTTTGCAGACACAAAATCAGAGTCTGCATCCCTGCTCCATGGGCTTGGTGTATGTGTTATTATTCTAATATTTACAGGCACCAGTTGAATATCCCTTATCTGAAAATCCAAAATCCAAAAATCCAAAAGTTTTTGTTGTTTTCAGAGTTTCCCTCTGAGGCCCAGGCTGGTCTTGGATGCCTTGGCTCAGGTGATCCTCTTGCGTGAGCCTCCTGAATAGCTGGGAATTCTGTGTGTGACACTGCACCCAGCTCAAAATCTGAAACTTTTTTTTTGGCCAGCATAATAGTGCATGCCTGTAATCCCAGTACTCTGGGAGGCTGAGGCAGGAGGATTGCAAGTTCGAGCCCAACCTGAGCTATTCAGTGAGACTTTGTCTCAAAATAAAAACTAAAAAGGGGCTGGGCATGTAGCTCAGTGTGAGGTCCTGGGTTCAAAACCCGGTACCACAAGGGAAAAAAATCTTGAAACTTTTTCAGTGTGGATAAGAAGCTCAAAAGGTTTTGAGCATTTCAGATTTTGGATTTTCAGGTTAGGGATGGTAAACTAGTAAAGTCTATGCAGTTTCCTAAACTCTAAGATCTGAAACACTTCTGGGCCCAAGTCAAGGAGCCCCGCAGAGGATTGCCTGTGTTGGGGTCAGTGAGGGCAGAGCCCGTACTCTGGGTACAGCCAGGGCCTGGCACATGCTAGGCTGGTGCTCAACCTCTGAGCTCTGTATCCAGCCCTTTTCCTATTTTTCACTTTGAGACAGGGTCTTGTTAAGCTGCCCAGGCTGAGTTGGATCTTGAGATCTTCCTGCCTCAGCCTGTTGAATAGCCGGGCTCACAGGTGTGTGCCGGCCCTGGGCCTGGAGCACTCTGACCATACTCTGGGGTTTTTAGCAGACGCTCACTCTCCTTGGGGGGCCTCCCTGACTTCCAGACTCTAAGGGGGTGAGGTCTGCCTCAGGACCCTGTGTGTGTGTGTGGGGGGGTGGCGTGTCTGTATGTCCTTCTGTCCCCAGGAGTCCTGGGGGTCAGGGCTGGGCACAGCAGTGAGGGAACTGGAGGTTTCAGTGCCTCCCTGACTGCTATGGGGGTCCCTGGCGCCCCTCATGCACACCCTCTCTGCCTGCAGTTCCGGAACTTTAAGATCATTTACCGACGCTATGCCGGCTTGTACTTCTGCATCTGCGTGGACGTCAGCGACAACAACCTGGCCTACCTGGAGGCCATCCACAACTTTGTGGAGGTGCGGGCGCGGTGGTCCAGGGGGCCCTTGGGTGCTGGGACCCATCCCTGTCCTGTCACTCACTGATGACTTCAGCCACTCCTCTGCCTGTCTCTGTCTCTGTCTGCCCATTCTGCTCTCTACTGCCTCTGCCTCAGCCTGACTCTTCCCTTTTTTCATTTTTCCTTCTTTCTTCGTTTTGGTTTTTTGAGATGGGGTTTTGCTAACTTGACTTGAACTCACCCAGACTGGCCTTGAACTCAGGGAGATCCTCCGACCTCAGCTTCCTCAGGGCTGGGAGTACAGGCCTGGGCCTGCTTCCTTTGGGTTCTTTTTAGGCAGGATCTTGGTACATGGCCCAGGCTTCTGTCACCCTTCTCCGTCCTCTCCCGGAGCCCTTGTTCTTGTTCCCCTTGGCACCCTCTTTGTCTGTCCTGTCATCTTTGCCTCTGTCTCTTTTCCTAGATCTTTCTCCACCCCTGCTCTCAGTTTCTGTTATTTTTGTTTTTGATTTTTGGGGGGGAAAGAAGTGGGTCTCGCAAAGTGTTTCTGGGTTTTTTTATCTTCTTTTTTGAGACAGGGCCTCGCTGTGTAACTCGAGCTGGCCTTGAACTCACTGTGTAGCCCAGGCTGGTCTCAAACTCAAAATCCTCCTGCCTCAGCCTCCCGAGTGGCTGAGATGAGAGGCCTAGATAATCATGGCCCCCGCCTTGCTCTGCCTTCTTTCCGTGATCGTTTTTGCCCCTGGTGCTGTCTCTCTGTCCTCCTCCCCCTCCCCCTCAGGGTCTCTTTCCAGGTCCCCTGCTCCCTGTATCTCAGTCTCCCTCCCTGCCCTCTCTCACCACGTCCCATCTCCCTCACCCAGGTCTTGAACGAGTATTTCCACAATGTCTGCGAGCTGGACCTGGTGTTCAACTTCTACAAGGTAGGTTGCACCGGGAGGGGAGGCCTCAGTGAGCCAGGCCGTCCCTGACCATCACAGCCGGCTCTGCCCATGGCACAGGTTTACACGGTGGTGGACGAGATGTTCCTGGCCGGAGAGATCCGAGAGACGAGCCAGACAAAGGTGCTGAAGCAGCTGCTCATGCTGCAGTCACTGGAGTGAGGCCATGCCCCGCGCCCGGCTGCTGCCCACTCCCGGCCAGGCCTGCCTGGCAGCTTCCCCGGAGGAAGGACCCCGGCGGGGCCTGGGCCACCAGGGAGGACTCTGCACCTGCTGCCTCTGGGCCCAGCATGGGCGCAGGAGGCTACCCCGAGTGTCCCGAGTAACTGTGCCATCATTGTGTGATGCCGTGAGTGTGCGTGGAGCCCCCAATAAACATCTGGTCCTGCCTGGCCCTGCTGTCTCTGAGTCCCTGTCTTCCCTGGAAACTTAGCCTTGGCTTCAGTCCATCAGAAAGTCAGTCAACAAACAACCCTCCATGTACTGAGCAAGGTGGGGGGACCCCAGCACACGGCAGACCTGCTTCTGTCCCCACAGGGCCCCCAAACTGTAAGGGATGACAGGTTTAGACACCAAGTGCTTGGCACTAAACTAGAGCTCACATTCAGTGGCCCTGAGACTCTCCCAGGGGTTGTTGAGTGACTGGCGGATCACCGTACACTTGACCCTCAAGAGAATATAAGGAAAGGACTTTTTAAAAATTTTTTTGTTTTTTTGGTACTGGGGATCGAACTCAGGTCCTTGTGCTTGTACAGCAGGCAGTGAAACCACTGAGCTAAATCCCCGGCCCGGAAAGGACTTTTATTGTCCCTATTTTTCAGATGAGGTCATTCAGTTAAAAGACTTGCCCCGGGGAGGAGGAGGAAGAAGAGGAGGAGGCAGTAAGCCTTAAATGGGAAGCACACAAGGCCATGGCAGGATGGTTTTGGGGGCTGAGGGGTGGGTCCGTCTGCCTCCCGTTGGAGGGAGAGGCCCCAGGGCTGTGGAGCTGAGAGCCTCTGGTCTCAGTCCTGATGGCCTCACCAATTTAACAATGGAGTTGGGTGGTTTTTGTTTTTTGTACCGGGGATCGAACTCGGGTCCTTGTGTTTGCGAGGCAGGCGGCTGAACCACTGAGCTAAATTCCCGGCCCCAGCCTTTGTAACAGTGGAGAAGGATGGGAAGCACCTTAGGAGCAGTTTGTTCTGGTGGAATTGTCAGGAATTATTGCTTCAGATATTCTGCTGGGGATTTAGCTCAGTGGTTCTGGCACCTGCCTTGCAAGTGCAAGGTCCCGAGTTCGATTCCCCGGTACCCCCCCCCCCAAAAAAAACTACATTGATTCAGACTTTCTCTCAAAATGTGAAAATAAATGCAAGATTTTGGGGATTGACACTGAGAGGCCCATTCTGCAGTTGGATAGCTATCTCTTTGCCGGGGAGTATGAAGATACTCTTGGAACATGTGTTATATTTGAAGAAAATGTTGAACATGTGGCTACAGAAGGCAGTAATAAAACAGTGCTGAAATATAAATGGCACACAATGAAGAAACTCAGCATGACCAGAACTCTTGACAGAAAAGAAGGAAGGAGAAGAAAGCATAGGAGGGGTAGAATGGCTGCAGATGAAGGATAATGATTCCTCCTGTAGACCCAACATGATTTGTAGCTTTGTACATGAAAATGAAGAGGAAGTTGTAGCTCCAGCCTCAGAAAAACGTTTAAAGGCGGAAGAGCAAGAGACTAAAGTGAAAGACGGTCCAAACCTCAACTGCGAACAGGAGAAACCACCGGAAACAGGGTTCTGGTCCTCCTGTTGACATCCCTTCTGAGATGGAAGGTTCTATTCTTATGGAAACTCAATTCACTGCCTTAAAAATCAGCCCTAGAAGAAATGTTCCTCATAATAACTAGTAATGAACTTGTAAAAAAAATTTTCATATAAAATAACAGCTGTATAGCAAAAAAAAAAAAAAAAAAAAAGACCTGCCCAGTTCCTATGGCGAGCCAGAGCCTGCCAGGTTTATTTGTAGCAGGATGCTTTTCTTTTGGTTTTTTGAGACAGGATTTCACTATGTAGCCCAGACTGCCCTTGAACTTTTGGGGATCCTCCTGCCTCAGTCTCCCGAGTCCTGGGATTCCAGGTGTGCCACTATGGCTGACAGTAGTTTTTCTTTCACTGTGCTCATGTATGCTAGGCAAGTGCTCTGCTGCTGAGCTACATCCCTGGCCTTTAAAAAAAATTTTCATTTTGATTTTTTTTTTAATTGTTATTTTGAGGCAGTCTTACAAAGTTGCCCAGGCTGGTCTCAAACCTGTGATCCTCCTGCCTCAGCCTCCTGAGTAGCCAAGATGAGAGCTGTGCACCTAATCATTTTGTGGATGGAGAAATTGATAAATGCATTCCATTATATCAGACTTTTAAAATAAATATAACAATATGTTAGCTTTCTGTTGCTTCTGTAACAATTACCATAAACATAATGGCTTAGAACAACACAAATTTTTTATTTTATAATTCTGGAAGTGGGCCGGGGATTTAGCTCAGTGGCACCACGCCTGCCTGGCAAGTGCAGGGTCCTGAGTTCGATCTCCAGTACCAAAAATAAATATATATATTTCTGAAGTAAGAACCCTGAGCCAAGCATGGTGGAGCATGCTTATAATCCCAGCACTCGAGAGGCTGAGGCAGGAGGATCGGCTACATAGCAAGGCCAGCCTGGGCTACATAGCAAGACCCTGTCTCAAAAAAACCCCCAAAAAACTCAGGAAGCTGAGGCAGGAGGGCTACTTGAGCCCATGAGTTTGAGGCCAGCATGAGCAACACAGCGAGACCCTGTCTTGGAGGGAAGTCAAGGAGGAGGGAAGGAAGGAGAAGGCCGGCACCACCTCCCTGTGGACCTACCAGAATGGCTGATTACCAAACACCTCCTGTGTTGCTGCTGGGAAGGCACACAGGGCAGCCACTTGGGCAGCAGCCCGGCAGCTTCTTGCAGAGGTAAATACACACTTGCCTGTAGCTCAGCGGCCCCACTCTGGCTTGTTTACCCAAGAGAAATAAAACTCAGGCACACATGCAACTAGCTGCGTTATTCACCATAGCCAAGTGCTGGAGTGCAGCCAGATGGCCACTTACTAAGGACACAGTGAGTGAGATGCGCTCCGTCCACAGTGGAATAACATCCGCCATAAAAAGGAACCAATGCTGACCATGTGGCACACGCCTGTGATCCCAGCACTCAGAAGGCTGAGCCAGGAGGATCATAAATTCAAGCCCAGACTGGGAAACTTAAGAGACTTGGAAAACACTGTCTTGAAATTAAAAAACCTAAGGGCTGGAGGTCAAAGTAGCTAAATTGCCCAGGCTGGGATCCAATGTGTGATCCTCCTGCCTCAGCCTCCTGGAGTACAGGATTCCAGTGCCTGACGTCACACACTATAACTGTTAGGTAGGGCGCGCCCTAGTGTGGCTCAGTGTGAAGGGCCTGGGACTCCCTGCTTAGCACGTGTGGGCTTTTTCTGGGGGTTGATGAGCCAGCTCCACTAACACCTGTGTTCTGGACTTTGAGCCCCCAGAACTCTCAAGAGACAGTCATTTCCGTTGTTGAAGCTGGCGTTTTGGATCCTTTGTCATTGTGCCTGGGAAACAAAGACTGTGAAAAACAAGGATCTACAGAAAGGCAGGGTAATTCGGAGGACAAAAGTGAGCGCTTATAAGAACTCAAGATTCAGCCTTTGCAGCCAGGGAACATGGTACTTGCATAACAGTTGAGAGCGCATTAACGGCAGAGCCCAGACTGAGCCGCCCACAGCCATGGAGAATCAAGGTTTTCTTTATAGTACTGGGAAATGAACCCAGTGTGCTGGGCAAGTGCTCTACCTCCAAGCTGTACCCTGGCCCTCTGATAGATGACCAAAGCCACCTTTGTGTTGCTGGGGAAGGAGGAGGAAGCACATAAAAAGCCGAAAACACCCCTGTCTCAATATTGGGGAAAAAATGAAAAAATGCTTGGGAATGTAGCTCAGTGTGAAGGTCCTGGGATTAGTCCCCAGTACTGGGGAAAAAAATGTGAAGAACTTCCTTATTGTGGTTGTATAGTAGAGAAAAATTTCTTAGGACACAAAGTACTAACCACCCAGGCGTGGTGCATGCCTGTGATTTCAGCACTTGGGAGGCTAGGCCAGGAGGATTGCCATGAGTTTGAGACCAACCTGGGTGATAGTACTACAGAGTACTAACCATAAAAGAAAAGACTGATCAGTTCTGCATTGGAAGGAAAGCGCCCAGGAATCAAGACACCATAAAGGAAATGAAGACAAGCCCCAGGCTGTAAGGAGACATCTGCCACACATGTCCCCAACAGAGGACTTCATGTCCACAACATGGAAAGAGCTCCTACAAATCAATATAAAAGACAACTGCATAGGAAAATGAGGTAAAATGGAAGCATAACCATTTCAGAAGCCCAAGATGGGGGAGCAGATCACACAGGGGGAGGGAGATTGGACCTCTGCCTCACCCACACACCAGAGTGCGATTAACCACGGCATTAACTATCAAAATGATCCTGCCTTTGCTGACACCTTGTTTTCCTAAATAGTTGTAGTTAACAGCAAGGGTCCAAATAAAGAGGGGCCTGGGAAAAAGTGAATGCAGGCAGAGATGGGAAAGGTGAGTTTTTTCTAGCCTGGGGAAGGAAAAGGAGGCCTAGCCTGCAGGGAGTGTGAGGCTACACTGTGGTCAGCTCCTCACCCAGTGCTTACCTGAATCTTACCAGGGTTAACCTGGCCACTACCCTCAGCGATGCAAGCCACACTGGCTGACAACTTTTTCTAGTTTGAAACAGGGTTTCTTGCAAAGTTCCTACATTGTCCAAGCTGGGCTTGAATATTCGATCCTCCTGCCTCAGCCTCCCAGAGGGCAGGATTCCAGGCATGTGCCCCTGTTCCTGCCTGACAGCACACACTGTAACTGTGGGGAAGGGAGCCCTGGTGTTTGGCTGTGCAGAGGAGTCCAGCCCCTGCTTCGGAGGCTGCAGAACAGCCTCCCCTTTCTGGGAGCACAGGCTGGGGTCTCCAAAGGGACTCAGGACTCTGCCTTCCGGGCCCCAGCTCCTGGGAAGCAGGAAAACCTGTTGCTCTGACCTTTGAAATGTCCCCAAAGGGTGCTCCTACGGCTAGTTCAGCTGCCACCACCTTCCTGAACAGTGCAGTCGCCTCCTTGCTGCCAACAGAAATGTTCACACGTGGCAGTAGAACATTTTACAGAAGTGAGATGCTGGCCAGGCATGGTGGTGCCTGCCTGTAATCGCAGGACCCAAGAGGCTGAGGCAAGAGGATCCCCGTGATTTTGAGGTCAGCCTGGGCTACATGGTAAGTTCAAGGACAGCTTGAACTACAAAGTGATATGCTTA